TTTCGGTAAGTAGTCATCTTTTCCTCGCGTTTTCATGTCCATATTAATGTGAACTGTTCAAGGATATAAGTTCCAAGAAAACATAACTGTCTCTTCAGCTTATATAATGCACCTTACTCGAAGCTCAGCAGGTGTGAGTGCCTAGTAGATTAACGTTGCTGAAAGGGCTGATAAGTTGCGAGGTCGGTCTTAACTGAGGAACCTAAGAGTCTTCTAAAGTTGTTTACTATCATACCATTAGGTGCCAGCTACTAAAGGGGGAAGAACCAGAAAAACAAAAGCACATTGTTAGGATGTGTAAATTGTTCTTCAGTGAAGGAGGTTTGTGTATATAATTGAGCTTAGTTGTTTTTGTTTATAGAGCTCCTGTAATTCCCCTGTGCTAGATTCTGAGTCAAAAGAAAAATATCAAAGTGCTTCGGCAGCAGCTGTTCTCAGTCCTTCAGGGTGGTAATTCTGAGCCCAGGGTTGTGCTTTTTCTTGTCGTGAAATGATACTCTTTGACTGTAAAACCCTGCATTCTCCCACAGTGCTGTTATGGTGACTGGCCTTGAAAAACCAAGGGTTTTCATCTTCGCGTCTGTTTAGCAGCTCTCGCGATGGAGAAAATAACCCATTATGACCTTATGTGTGGTTCATGAACTCTTCTCGGAAGTATGCCTATGATCGGATTTTGTATTTTTGAACACAGTGCTAAACCTTGCTGTGCAGTTCCTTCTTTGGAAAAGAAGAGCAATACTCGAGGTAGTCTCTGTATTTTCAGTGGGTTTCAGTGATGCCGGTGAATTAGTCAGCTCTAAAATATTTAATAAACTATAAGTGATACTGCTGTACATTATAAAAAGTTTCTACACATCACGCCATTCTTCTAATTTTTCTGTCATTTGGAAGAAATGGGTTAATATGAAATAAAAACAAATAATATCCAAAAATGTAATTTGTAAAACAATAATGATGAGGACTCATCAGGTTTTACCTGATTTGAAAACATATTTAAAATGGACAATTATCAAAGCTGTATACATCATAGTATTTTGTTAAAGGAAAAATGATCCATTGATATGGAATAACATAGAGATTCCAGAAGTGACAATCTATTTTAACCATGTCTAGGACAGTGCAGAAATGACAGAATGATAGGGAAAAGTAGCATTTGTCAGGTATTTATTTTGGTATAGAGAAGAATACGTACTCTGTGTACAAATACAGAATGTATAATAAAGAAAAAACCCCAGAATGTCAGAAAAATAACAGACTGTGTTTCACTGTGTTGAAATTAGTTAAAATGGACACAGGTATATTTGGTGAATATACTAATTCCATTTGATGTATCTGCAAGGAAGACGCATGCTTGAGGGAGTCTTACATCATTTTATAGGAAAATGTACTGCGTCTCAGCATTGAACTGAATTCAGATATTAAAACATTCGTCCTGATAAAGGTAGTAAAGCCAGATTTTTTTTTTCCCATGGAGAAATAGGAATGTTGTTGATGGTATTGGGCTAATTGTTTCAGTTGTGGTGGACAGTAATCTGTCAATATGTTTAAATTGTAATATCGGTATTGATGATGATGATGATGATGATGAAGGTGATGATAAGGGCAGGTACCAGACATTGTGCTGAGTGAGAGGACATTTAAAGGAAAGCTTTCTATCTTGGCCACATATGTATATGGAAATAGACACGTCACTGAGCATGTCATACAAAGCCCCACAGCCTCCATCCACATTTTCTGATTCATTGTTTTTTTGCAGGGAAAGGTTGGCGGGGGGAAGGTAATTAGGTTTCTACGTATTTATTTCTTTATTATTTATTTTAACGGCGGTACTGTGGATTGAGCCCAGGACCTCGTGCGTGCCGAGCATGTGCTCTACCACTGAGCTATACCCTCTCCTTCTCAGAGTCATTGTTTGACATTTCCTCCCCCAAACCATTTTCCTGCAGACTATACTCATTAAAAAAATGTTTTTTAAGTTTGTTTTCTATAATTAGTTTTTACTCTGTTTTTATAAATGTTTTCCCCCAGGCCTTGAATGTCTTTTCTTCTCCTGGCAGTTGGATTTTTAACACATGTTTTGAAATTTTGTTCGAACCACACCTTGTCACTGAAGCCTTGGTCCCTGTGGCCCTTGAGACACATGGGAGGCTGGCAGCCTTGCCTGCTTCCCTGAAGACTGTGGCTTCCTTGAGGGCAAGCGCTGTGTCCCAGCCATCTTGATGCCTGTGTGTCGATTGAGTGAATAAAATCGACAAAGGAAAAATCCCAATGTTAATATTATTTGCTAGCTCTTTCATTAAATTCTGTTAAACTGAGGCTTGCTTTGTCGACGCGTTATAAGCTTATTTAACAACAATCAAATTGTATGACTTCCAACAATTCCTTTTAAATGGGGTAAGCAGGTACTTCCAGTGTTGACTGAGATAAACGCACAGCCTAAAAGCTGAGAGTTCCGTTTTATTCGGTGGACGTTTCTGAGGACTCAGACCCCTTTGAGCCCGGGATGACAGCCTCCCAGATGGCTCACAAGAGACTGGGGAGGAGCCAGGGTATATAGGTGTTCTACAACAAAGACCAGGTAGTTGGAACATTAAAGATTACTATTAAAGAAAACCAGACATCTCAGCTTGAAGAATTTAGTGCTTTTCTATGTATGGGAAAGAGCAAACGTTTGGGCTCACTGATATCATTCCTTTGATAAGCACCTGGCTATCTAGGGCCAGTATCCTGTCCTTTCATCTTCTGAGTCCCCTCAGGCTGCGGAGGCTGGGCTGCCTGCTGGTCTTCACTGTGGAGGTGGCTGATGACTTGATGGCTTCAGCATTCTTTGTTTACGGATAATGGCTTGCAGTATTTTTCTCTCACACTGGGCTAGTATTGTCGTTATTTGGCAACAGGGTTTTGTTGGGGTTTATACTTTTCTCAGTGCTTATTTGCTGTGAAATGGGCTTTTCGCTGGGTCGCTGTCAGGTTCTTTTAGTGTTTATAAAGATGCTCAAAGAAGTCCATTTATCAGATCTTTTGGGCCAGGGTGCCATTAATAAACTCTTCTCTACTATTTAGTATTCTTAAGAGAAAATATGCCTAAGGACTTATCTTATTCTCAGAAAGTTAAGGTTTTTTTTTTTTTTTAAAACCGTTGGGACCCAAATTATTCATCAAATGAAAAATTTCATGCAAAAATTAATGCCTTCAAGGTGCAGAATGGTTATAGATTAAAGACTGTATGATATTTGTGTTAGGTAAGTAGAGCTTCTCCTGCAGATGACAGAAACCACACCTGAAAAGACAAAAATTTCTTACCCTCTCAAGGAGTTGTCTGCATACAGGAAGCCCAGATCAAGGACGACCCTGCTCTACATGGTTGGTTGGGGTTTGATGTGGCATCCTATTGTATTAGGGATTGTGGTGCCTTCTCTCTCATTGCTCTCTATTTAAAATTAAATACGTTAGTTTTCTTTTTATTTTGTTTGTTGATTATTGTAGAGTGACTTTCTATCTGATCAGCAGTTATGCTTGATAAGAAGTAGAAGTCATGGTTTACCTATCATATTTTATGGCTTTGGCATGGCAAAATAGTCCTGACAATAAATATTTAGTTAATTAATTGAAAGTTGATACGTTTGGGGAATTGTTGTCAAAAGTACAACTGTTTGCAAGACCACTGTAGTGTGAGCTGTGAAGCTCCCCGTCTAGGTTGGGTAGGTCATGATCACGGTAGAGGGAGGGACGAACACAGCGTTTCTGAAGGCCTGAAGACCAAGAGTTCATTCCCAGCATACTTGTGAAGGAGACTTCATAGAAAGTAATGCCCTTGGGCTGCCCTTGAAGGATGAATAGGATTTCAATAATAAGAAATGGAGGAGGAAGGCAAAGAGGAGCATGGGGTGGTATTGGTGGGGGGAGGGAAGGGGGCGTGGAAAATGTCTGGTTGCCATGAGTGTAGCACTTTGCAGGTGATTTGTGATACCCAGTGTGCCTTAGGAATGAAGTCTGGGGGAGGAATGTTTGTGAGCAAGGCGGTGGGTATTGCATTTATCCTTGCCCCGCTTTTTTTTCTACAGGAGAGTTTTATCTTGGATAATACTTTAACAAAACTTCATTGATTTGTTAATTTATATTATTCAAATATTGTGAGCTATATTAGCCTTTAATACCTAGAACATATGATTCATGTTTAAATGAAATTATCTTTAAGGACAGTATTTGTAAATATGTGACTTTCAAAGGGGGACTTGAACTCTCAGTATTCATGAAGGACCTGGTTCTAACTGCTCTCTGAAGTTAAAAGGTTGTGCTAGCCCCTTTTACTGGTGCGCTCTGCTGATACATCATTTAGGGAAAGTTCCAATTCCTGATGAAGAGCAGAGCGCTGACATGATTTTTCACTTAGGTGTGCAGAAAGAAGTGGTTAGCTTTGTGCACAAAATAGGCTGAAATCAAGCTTTAATTAGTCAGACTTTTGCGTAATTCATCACGGTCACTTTGAAAGTCCAGTTGAAGCCACTCTTGATTTTTATCACTATGGGTTCATTTTAAAGGACTTTTAATAGTTCCTTGCTGCACAGGTATTTAGGTCTTCCAAGGAAAGCCGTGACAGCGCACCTGGTCTCTTTTTAAAGAAATGAATTGTTATATAAAGATCCATAAAGAAACGAATCAGTACATAAAATTTTTCTTATTATTAAATATCATTCTTGATATCAGTGTAATCAGCTTTAAAGACAGGTAAATAAGCTAAGGTTCTTTCTTTTTTTTTTAACATTTTTTATTGATTTATAATCATTTTACAATGTTGTGTCAAATTCCATTGTTCAGCACAATTTTTCAGTCATTCATGGACATATACACACTCATTGTCACATTTTTTTCTCTGTGATTTATCATAACACTTTGTGTATATTTCCCTGTGCTATACAGTGTAATCTTGTTTATCTATTCTACAATTTTGAAATCCCAGTCTATAAGCTAAGGTTCTTTCTGTCTTTTTGAATCCACAGGCTGTCCATCTGGCCCAGGCAAGCTTCCAGATTGAAGCCTTCGGCTCCAAATTCATTCTTGACCTCACACTGAACAAGTAAGTATCTAGTTATGATCCTGTTAAGAAACAAGTGCAATAAAACTCAACTTCATGATAATAGTTTAGTCAAAATAATGTCTGTTGTTGAAGCAACTGGTATTTTCTAGCTAATTAAATGTCATATAGCACTTAAAGAAAACTATAAAAGTCTGAAGTTAATGGTCTTTTTTTTCTCTGAAAGAAAAGGCATTTAACATTTAACTTGTTAACAATCTCAAATATAGTGCTTAGATATTATGATTTAAATGGAATAAATAGTTGTAGTAATGCTAGTTAATTAAAAGTTAACTAAGATCATTACTGTACAATAGCAGGCATGCTAAATTACTGACTCAAGTATAATTAGACTTCAGTCTCGAAATTTCTTCCCTTTTACCTTTCAGTACCCAATTCACATGACTTCTGTATGAAGAACAAACAAAATGATGACTTGCAAATACCTATTTTGAGAAGCTTCTTTGCTTCATAATTTCCTCTAATACAGTTTCTTAGAAATTTTGGTCTTGATGAAAATTTACCCGATTTTTCTCTGAGCATGTGTTTATGTTGATATATAAATGCTATTTCCCAAGTTGGAACCAGATGCACAGATGTCTTTGTACAAAGCACACAAAAGAACTGTTGCCTTAAGCAGGGCTTTTCAGCTTCTAATTGAGCCAACAGTGAGCCTTTCTTTGGTGAAAGAGTTTGCTGCATGGTTTTCTTTAGTTTAAGAAGCTCCAGTCAGTATTTTAAACTCTCATCAGTATTTTGACCAGGATTGCATTTTTTGCCAGAAAAATACCACGTAATACTATCAGACACTATAATGTAGGTGACCGTAGTCAATATCTGAGAAATTGCAAAAGGCTGTAAAGAACACCTATTAAATTTCTTGTATGCCAAATTCTGTGAGCTCTGCAGAAAAAAAAAAATGCAGAGTCAGCTTGGGTACTCCTTACTCAAGTGTAATTGCAGCTTTAAGTCAGAATGAATCAGCAAACTCAGAATTTCCTGTGTTAAAGATATTGCAGGTTTTCCTCCTTGAGTTTGCTGAGCATTGGTTGAGTTCCTTTTCACCATGCTGGGTCAGCATTGTGCCTGCCTAAGAGATTTGTCTTGCCAAATCTTAGACTATGTAGAGTAGCAAGATACAGCTAATTTTAGTTTGTTTAGCTAAACTTTAACTCTTACTGCAATGGAGACTGTCATCCCAGACTGTAGCTTGGTGATAGCAACCAACATTGCTGTGTGTTTGAACATTGAGACATGCTGGCTGCAGCAGAGTCTCCCAATCAGATGACTGAGAAAGGGTCATATGGGGACATCCAGTATACTTAGAGGTCTGGAAACACATCAGAAAATTACTTACCACTAATATTTAACATGCAAATGAATTAAGTTGAGCACCTACTGTGAGCCTTGCCTTAAGGAGCTTATAGTCTAGTTGGGAAAGATCGATGGATATATATATTGTTTTATTATTTACTTATTTTTTAAAAAAATTTTCTCTTCTATTTTTTTATTGTTGGTTTACAATGTTGTGTTAATTTCTGGTGTACAGCATAATGTTTCAGTCATACATATACATATGCATATCCCTTTCCATATTCTTTTTTATTATAGGCTATTACAAGATATTAAATATAGTTCCCTGTGCGATACAGTAGAACCTTGTTGTTTATGTGTTTTATATATAGTAGTTAGTGTCTGCAAATCCTGAACTCCCAATTTATCCCTTCCTACTCCCTTTCCCCCAGTAATCATAAGTTTGCTTTCTATGTCTGTGAGTCTGTTTCTGTTTTGTAAATAAGTTCATTTGTATCATTTTTTTAATATTCCACTTATAAGTGGTATCATATGGTATTTTTCTTTCTCTTTCTGGCTTAAGTTCAATTAGTATGATGATCTCCAGGTCCATCTATGTTGCTGCAAATGGCATTATTTTATTCTTTTTTATGGCTGAATAGTATTCCATTGTATAAATATACCACAACTTCTTTATCTAGTCATTTGTCGATGGACATTTAGATTGCTTCCATGTCTTGGCTATTGTAAATATTGCTGCTATGAACATTGGGGTGCATGTATCTTTTTGAATTAGAGTTCCCTCTGGATATATGCCTAGGAGTGGGATTGCTGGATCATATGGTAAGTCTATTTTTAGTTTTTAAGGAATCTGTATACTGTTTTCCATAATGGCACCAAACTACATTCCCACCAATAATATAGGATATATAATTTTAGAAGAATGTGAAAGTGGTTGTGCCAGAGATAAACATGGAATGCCATGGTAGCACTAAAGAGAAGAAGCTCTTTAGTCTGGAGGAGTGTGAAAAGGCATCTTGGAGATGGGGCTGCTTAGCTAAATCTTGGAGGTCAAGTGCTAGTGAGGAAGGGAAGTGTTGGGGATGGATGGGAGAGAGAGGGAGAAAATGGAGAAGTGTGTTCTAGACAGAGAAGATAGTGTGGGCTAAGGAGGCAGGGCCATGCAGCAGTGCAGCACGTTCAAGGGAGCATGAATCCTTTGTTGAACTTCTTTGGTAAATTACAGCGTTGACGCGTAGGGAGATAAGTCAGGAGAGATAGGCCCAGGCCCAGGGACAGCTCAACTCATGCAGGCGCTTGTATGTCATCATTGAGTGCTTGGCCATCATTCCCTAGACTGTGAAAACTGAAGTAAGGGGAACAAACAGAAGCTTTCTTCTCAGGAAGTGCTAAAAGGCATGGAGAGGAAATGCTTTTAAGAAGTCATCAGTTGATAAAAATCATGAGGATTGTTTTGACATGGATGACAAGGCAGAAAGAAGAGTTCAGGGTAACAGGTGCTTGATTGGGTAGCTGGGTGGAAGGTGGTATCCTGCTGAAATGGGCAGCACAGGGAACAAATAGGTGAGATGGTGAACAGAAAAGAACATGAAATCGGAGACGTCATTGATTTGAGGGGCTTTGGGACATCTGTGAGGCCGTGTGTAGGAGGCAGGTGGATACAATCCTCTGAAGTTCAGGGAAGAGGTGGGGGCTGGAGATAGTTGAGTTGAAAGTAATTTCCATGTGAACATTAATGACAAACATGGTTGTGAATGAGATGACCCGGGGGCCGGGGGGTAAAATAAGAGCATAAGCTGGGAATATAGTTAAGAGTTGAGGAGAGAAAGAGGAGCCCGTGAAGGCACAGAGAATGAGTAGGAGGAGAATCTGAAGAATAATTAAATAGAGTTTCAAAACAGAAAGATGTGATAGAGAGTCTCACATGGGGTAGAGTGATCTAGTAAGATAAGGAGCAAAGATGGCCTTTGTATTTACCAATCAAGTAATCACTGATGGTCTGAAGGCAGTAGTTTTAGTGACGTTTTGGGACAGAAACCAGGCGACAGTGGGCTGGGGGTGACAGAGAGCAGGCGGTGTGGAGAGAGCAAGGACGCACTGGGAAGGTTTGGGTGAGAAGGAAAGAGAGCTAGAGTAGTAGCCAGAGGAAGACATGGGGTCAGGGATGGGTTTTTCAGGGTAACAGAGCAAGTGTTAGGCTGAGAGATGGAGCTGGTGAGAGTGAGAGGTGATAATGCAGAAGAGAGCGGAGATAATTTATGGAGCAAGATCTGGGTGAAGATAGAAGGCAGTGAGAGCAAAAGCCCAAGGACAGAGCTTAGTTTTGAACCAGGAGAGACAGTTCATTCCCAACATGTGTGGAGGGGTTGGGGGCATGCAGGTAGAGACTGGTTTGCCACAGAAGGGATGGAGTTCAGGAAACGTATCTCTAAAGTGTTCCTTTTTCATACAGACAGCATTATCTGCCCTCGGGATTGGGATGGAGAGGGAGGGTGAGTTGGGAGTTGAGGAAAAGAATGAAAGTTTAGGCTAACAAGCAAAGAAATGAGTGAGGAAGCTCACTAAGGCCAGGTTATAAAGAACTTATGAGCAGCCTTCATTAGAAGTTGTATGTGTTGGTCTTTGTGTCACTGTTCCTGATAGTGTTTTTGTTGGTTGTTGTTGTTTTGTTTTATTTTAAACCTGGAATACTCCAGTAACTCCATCACTGCAGTGTGTGAGGGAAGATGGCAGACCTTAGTATGGATCAGGGTTTCGTTTTTCTGGTGCTAGCCCGGAGGAAGAACAGTGGACTCAGAGCTCTTTGAATACTGGCGAGTACCTTGCGTAGTTAGGTGTCAGGATCCAGTCTGGGTAAGAAAGAAGATGAGGTCGAGAGGAGGCTTATGGACTGGGAAGAATGGAGGTCTCTGTGGGGAAAAGTAAATGCAGTGAGAGGGAGACCGGGAGAGCCATCCTCATGTGGTATCTCCCTGTACAGAGTCCCGAGCTGTCTGAGCGCAGCATGTGTGACCTGGAGACAAGGGAACTGGATAGGAGGATGACAAGTGTTGGCTGGGGTGGGTCTCTAGTTTAAATAAATTTCAATGGCTGGGATTAACTAAAAAGTCTGATCCATTAGAATATACTTAAGGAGTCAAGAGTAGGGTTGGGGGTATAGCTCAGTGGTAGGGTTCGTGCTTGGCATGCATGAGGTCCTGGGTTCAATCCCTAGTGCCTCCAGTAAAGGGAAAAAAATAAAAATGCTAAAAAAAAAAAGAGTGGCAAAAAAAAAAAAGAATCAAGAGAATTTTAAAAATCAGTCATGAAGGAACCAAAAGAGCTTCTGAGGAAAGAGGGATCTCATTTCCACTTTTGGGTGGTCATTGCCACACTATTTACAACAATTTAACCTCATTAAGGAGGGGAAGGGCAAAAGGTGCATGGTAGGTATGTGGGCTCAGAAAGGGATGAAAGCATGATGAATTCATGTAAGCTAATCAAAGGGGCAGGCAGGAGAATCTAAATGGTCAATGACCTCACCAGACCTGGACTGCCAACTTGTGAAGACTACCCTGATGTGCGTTCCCGAGAGGAGAGGCTTTTGAGTTTGTGCTTATATAGATTGAAAAATGAGGTTTTGGCTTGCTGAGGCATCTCATGGCAGAGATATGTGTCTTATCTGTTTGTTCAACAAACGTTGTGGGCAC